ATGATCCTTTATTGTAATGCTATTTCATATCATATTATGGACACACATACACTCACCCACACACACATAGATATATAACTCTTGAGACAAGATCTTACAATCATACCCAAAAACAAGTAGTTTCTTGATTCTCTACCGTTGTTGTAGTCTATTCTCCTTTCTTCATGACTGTTACTTGATTATCGCTATTGTTGTACTCCACCCTCTTTTGATTGTCGACGTTGCTAGGTTTGACTGTTGCTTGATTGTTGTGATTACTATGATTTGTTGTAATGCTCAATTTATTTCATACCTATTATGTACTCATATACATAATTAACAATGTTGAAACAACTCTTTCTTCATGAGCATTGCTTGATTAGTGTGATTGTTGTGTTTGAACGCTGCTTGATTACTGTAAATGCTTTGATCATTGTGATTACTCCTTTCCTTTCTTTTCATCATTTAGCCATGGTTGTTAAAATCTTGATTTAGATCATAAGATCCGACGAATTCACAATCTCAAGTATATAAACCTCATTAGATTAGACATGAAATCATAATTGAAGTAAATTGTACTCAGATCATGATTAAGATCGTAGGATTAGTGAAATTATGCAATCTAAAGCAATTCCTAGATTCCTTTATACTGCCATTTTAAATAGATGCAGTTTAGAAAAAAAAAAACCCTAAAAGTGTGAATTTTAGACATAAAAAAATCCCTAAGAGTTAACCTAAGCTATTATTCTGTATAATACTCCCAAAATCACATATTCTTCATTTTATTTTCTTCTTTGATGGATGTAAAACTAAGTGTGATTCTTGCATATGCCATTTAACGTTATCTCCCTATTTCTTTGACGTAGGTTTTCAAAATTTGCATTATATATGGAGCTTTTAGGGTTGGAAATGCTCATGTGCAGGGTGGCATGATTGGAGACCTTTCATTCATGATGCCTGAATTCAATAAAGTCAATATCATAGTACCATTTTCACTTCCTTTTTTCTAATTTTTTTGATTTGATTCAGTACTTTTTTGAGTTGTTCCAGTCTTTTTTCGTAGGTTTGGCTACATTAGGGGCCCTGACCTCTACCTTGAGGTTCATCACAACAGCAATTTTTGAGAATTCAAAGCACGGTCCTCGACAAGGGGTTAGTATATTCTTAAATTGCCTTTCATCTCAATTTACTATTTATGATAGAAGATAAAAAGGTCTTCCTCTAGATATATTGAAATGAAATAGTTTTAAGGTCAAAGATCAAGCCAACATATATAAATAAAAGTTAGACATTGAATAGATTTTCTTGTAAAGTGTCACTCCTTTATATTAACCTTGTTTTTTTGCCCTATTTTCCTGCAGTTCTGTTCTTTGTCATCTCTGCATTGTTTGTGCTTCTTTACACCTATGTGTTCCCAAAAATACCTATTGTGAAATACTACCACTCAAAGGCAACTTCGAAAAGATTCAAAACTGTTTTTACAAACATTGTTGCTAATGGTATCCAAACAATGTCCAAATAAGTATGTTGCATTTTCTCATTCTTTGCATTTCTTTTTTCTACGGGATAATCTTATCCATATAACTAATAAGTTCTTAGTAGTACATCTCAATCTCTTGTAATAATTTATAATTCCATGCAAACAGCAATAGATCCAAACAACATGAAAGGCTAACCACCAAAAGAGTTACTACTTTAGAACAGTGATTAGGCACTTGATTTGTTTTTATATATATCCTAACAATCTCTATTTTCCTAGGATTCTTGGCTGAAGATACCGAAAAACATAGTTTAGGTACATGGTAAGTTTTCATCTTAAATAATTGTTTGTCTTTCTATTTCTCTAAATATACATTGACATTCAAATTTGTCAAACTAATATTCCAAGTTTGCGCTTGTTTTTATAGCAATGTTTAACGTGTGGGATCTTACTAGAAGATAGATTCCGCTTGTGAAATTCTTGAAGTTGAAATCAAGAAAAGGTCTAACGATGGCAATTCTTTGCCATTGCTTATTAATCCCAGCATTCTGTTTCACCATAGAATATGGTGACCAAGGTTGGATGATCATGCTAACATCCTTCTTGGGTTTTGTTGGGGTAGGGAGGTGATGAATCAGCAACAATGATGATATGGAAGTTGACTAGGATGCCCTCTATAGGAGATGAGAAAGATCCTTTTGGCCTATACCAAACTCACATGCGGAAGGCTACATGCTACAAGTCGCTTCCTTTCATCCAATAAAGATGAGCTGTGCAGATTTCTTCAACAAAGTCTAAAAGTATGATTTCTCCAACCAAGCCAAAAGAGTTGGACAACAATGACAGAATTTTGTAATCAAGAACAATTACACAACTATCAAAAATAATGAACAAGAGATGTACATTATAGTAAAAGTAGCATGGATAGAAAATATATAAAAGTCAACTTATACAACTTAAGAAGCACATTTATATAAAATATACTGTAGAATAATAATAAACACAATTGATGTGCTATCTACTATCCCTAACAAATACTTCAACTCTAAAACGAGCAACCCTTATATTGAAAGCTTGAGATGCAACAATCTCCTTCAAACTTGCACAGTGCAAAAAGGGACAAACTTGAAAGTAGTGATGGGAGAAGGATGAATGATTGTTATGGGGGCTTCTAAATGGAGAACTTGATCTCGCTTCTTGATACTAACTCTGCCACTTGATCCTCTAATGCTCAAGAAAAACAACCCAAAATTTCAAATTGTAGCATGATATCTTCTAGTCATGACAAGTTGCAAGTCTAGAGAATAGTTTTTATGGCTGGAAAAATAAGAAAATATGAGAAAAAGGAGATTTCTAAGGAATTGGGTGGGAGAATTAGCAGGTTGAAGATAAAGACTTCTTTGGTGTAAAACGTGCGGTTTTTTTTTTTTTTTTTGGTGTGGATCTAAATAATCTTTTCTGTGAAATGAAAATTTGCTAACCGAAAAATAAAGGAAAAATCAAATATATATATATAGGTAATGGTATTTTAGTAATTTTGGGTTGGTAGGGCTAGAGTAGTCCAGCAATCCAATGCTTAGATTTGGGTTGTATGAGGACAAATATCAAGTTTTGGGAGGATCTAACCATATTTGACAACTGTTGATGTGTAATTATGAATTCTCCAGCATTTCCAGTGAAGGACCATTGGTTCGCTTGAGCCTTCCCATTCTTGGCAACTTCATATCCATACTTAATGCCATATTTGGTATGTAATTGAGTACTACCAACAAAGCTTCCTCTATAAGAGATTTTAATGATTTTCCTGAGCAAAATATAATCTCTTTGGCCAATTTCCTATGCAATGAAACTTGTGAAGCCATCCATGCATTCAATACAAACTACTAGTTGGTGATAGACACTCAAATAACATCTCCAGTTGGTTTTTAATGAGGTTCCAAGTCTTCTAGTTAGCATCAAATTAATAGTGCAAGTTTGGAATCAAGTTTTGCCTCCACATATTTGCCACCCATCCCTTCCTAGTGACAATGAGCAACATTGCCAACCCTAAGCTTAGCTGGCGCAAATACTTTACTTTTCCAAGCAGGTAATGTTCATCCATCCATGCCTACCAAGCCACTACTCCCATAATTTATCTCAAATAATCCTCATAAGCAAATTCATAGGTTTATGTTCATCTGCATTAACAAGCAAAATATGGATGAGTATTTGCCCATAAATATATTTAAGTGGAAAATATATAAATATTTGCAGTAAAGAAAAACACTACCTTATGTATCAAAAGAGATGGTGGGAATCAACATCGCTATGCCTCTTTATCTACCAACCATGGAAAGCACTTGTGTAATATTGCTATGCATGTCTGGCGATGCGCCAAGATAGAGAATGAATAACATGGATGTGTATTGCAATATTGTTTTATCTAGTTAAGCACCATTAGTTGACGATACATGCCAATACGTAAAAATATAGAAGAAATATGTTGTAGATTGGGATTGGTAGCAACCTGTAATTCTGTCCTTTTTTATAAGAAGAATAATGATGCACATGACTACTAGCCATGTTATGTAGATATTGTAGGGTCAACCATGAATATATTTCCTATAACCA